AACGAATAATACGTCCAAAGACTTATTGGGACGGCGCCTCTGCCAGCAGCGGCTATGCCTAGGCCGTCACGAGGCCCTGTCGGTCGACGGCGACGGCGACAAGAGCCACCCTGCGGAGATCTTACGAGCTGAAGATACTGATACTTTATTCGTATGCGCCAGGGGTCGTTGCGCTGGGTACCGTACTACCGGGTATGCTGGGTACTATGTACTGCGCCACTCTGCAAGTCCGATCTCAATCGCTTGGTGCGCATCGTGCGCGGGGTGCTCTTTTGCTGATATGGTGGAGCAGTACAACGGCGACGCTGGAAGCTACTCGGGGCCGAAAGCCCACATCCACCCACACCCCCGATGTGCACGGCCGTGACCACCAGCCACCAGTGGCGATCCATGCGAGAGCGATCTTCTGGTGGCGACATGCACGTCAATGAATGGCGCCAGTCGGCTGGTTGTTGAAGCACACAATGCACGTCGAAAGCGCCGACCCACACTCTCCTACTCGTCCTTTGCCGCCGTCGCAGCTCGCTGTCGCCTGTTGACACTGCGTGGTCGCGAGTCTCGTTCGACGAAGCGCGCGTGCGACCACCTGCGCTACCAACTCGTTGCAGCGGCCGGTGGCTGCGTCCGTCCGCGGCCCTGTCTGTGGCGCCAAATCGGGTTGACAACACTTTTTTTTAAATGATCCCACGACTTTTTTAATGTGCGCCTATCCGGATGAGTGGAGCAAGGCGATTAAAAGAAAGAAAAAGAAAGTAAAAGAATTGGACGGAATTAAAAAAGAAAAAGGCAGTGTCGAGCCAGTTTGCATTACGTCATTGACACGACGGGGGTGGATTCAGTACAACCCACCGTACGCTTTCTCGGAAGGGTGAGTCACGTCGCGCGCCGCTCATGTGGCACCGCCCAGTTTTGCAATCGACGCTTTGAGCCGTAAATCTAGCCGTCGCCATGCGCGTCAATGAACGCCTTCTTGGTGTCTTCGCCCTCGCCGCGGTCGGCACGAGCCAGTTTTACACGGGCGAAGGCACGACGTATGGGCCGCCCGATGGTGGCGACAGCGCGTTTACCGGCAACTGCGCGCTCATGAAGCCGCTCGACCTCGCGCCTCGCTTCCACGCAGCCATGAACAACTTCCAGTGGAGCACCGGCATTCATTGTGGTCGGTGCGTTGAAGTCCAGTGCATTGATCCGCGCTGCACGTCCCAAGAGAAGGTGCTCGGCCAGATCACCGATCGGTGCCCCGAGTGCCAGTTTGGCGACCTCGACATGTCGTTGCCCATGTTCAACAAGGCCACCGGCCTCAACACGGACCGGCCCAAGATCAAGTGGCAGTTTGTCAACTGCCCCGTCGCGGGCGGCGTCCAAGTGTGCGCCAAGAGCGGCAGTTCCAAGTACTGGCTGTACATCCAAGCCTCGAACGCTCTCAATGGCGTCGCCAAGATGAAGATCAACGGCGGTGACGCCCCGTCGTTCGACTCGGCGTACTATTTCAAGAGCCAAGTGCTCAACGTCGAGCTCTCCGACACCACGGTCGACATGACGTCGCACTCGGGGGAGACGATCAGCACCAAAGTGTCGCTCCAGGCCGACCAGTGCACGCAGATCCCGCAGCAGTTTACCGTCGGCGTCGTGCCAGGCCCGCCGGTGCCGCCGCCGAGCCCGTCACCTAGCCCGTCACCTAGTCCTAGCCCTAGTCCGAGCCCATCGACGAGCCAGCCGCCTACCCCGTCGACGTCGGCACCGACCACCGAGGCGCCGACAACAACGACACCGGCGCCAACGACCTCGGGTACGCCGACCCCACAACGGGAGCTCCCACGACGGGAGCTCCCACAACGGGAACTCCCGAGGCTACAACGGCCGCACTCACGACAGTCGTAGCCACGACGACGGTGACACCAACAACCGAACTGCCGTTGGAAACCCTTCCGGCCGTCAACCCGTCGACGCCCGTTGCAACGTCGGCGCCCATCGTTGCGCGCAAAACCGACGCTGTCGAAGTTTCGGTGCAGGCGTCGGCAGGCGCCGGTGCGGACGTCACGAGCTACCTCGTGGCGGGCGCCGGTTTCTTGGTGGTCGTCGCGGCGGCAGTCCTTGTCCTCGTCGTCAAGCGATCGCGCCGCAAGTACATGCAAGAGAAGGAGTCGGATGCGTCGTTCGACGGCCCCATCATGCGCTACGGCCAATCGGAGACGTCGCAGGCGAATGTCGCGATCCTCTAAGGTCGCCGTAGTGTCTAGTCGTCGTTCGTGTCGTGCTGAAATGCTCAACAGAGTTGTGTTCTATGTGCCCACGCACATCTCTGTCCATGGCATCACGATCAACGACAAGCAGACCTATATCACCGCGTAGCAGTCGTTGTAGTCGTAAGCTTTCGCTCCATTTACGTCTCTCGACTTCACCGATTGACTTCACCGATTGCTCAACTAACATCAGCCCGACCTGGGCGTTCCACCCAGAGCCTCACAGCAGGTTCGGAAAAGTACTCGACGATTCAAACAGGTTTGTCACCCGCGTGCGACCTCATCGCGGTCGGGTGGTCCAGGTATAGGAACCCGCGCGCGACCTTATGAGATCGGCAAATTGGCTCCACCACGGATCTCACTGTACCCGGCCCGCGACCGACGACCGAGTGCTAGCGCTTTTACTAGTAGCTCCATGCATGCTGACATAGTGCCACGTATGCAACATACTAGTATTTGATTGGAGCTTGCAGACTTGCTTTCAACGCAAACATGCTCGATTGATCGATGCAGTGGTGCTGTTTAGTCCCGTCCTTGGTTCCGAGAGCTAGTTTTTGAATGCTTGAATGCGCGTGCATGTGTTGGGAGCCAGGCTCACCGTAGCCGAGATGACGTCGCCCCCAAACGATGTGAGCTCGATCTCCGTCGATGCGAGCGACACTTCGGACGACGCTTGGCCGAGCGCGACAAAGTAGAAGGCGCTGCCTAGGAGCGACGTCGGTTGTTTCATGACCCGCAGACTCTGAACGCCGCTGATCGTGTTGGACGGCTGCAGTGCGAGCCAGTAGCGCGAACTGCCGACCTTGGTGCAGATGTGAACGCCACCGACGGGAGCGCACGGCACGAACGCCCAGACGATCTGCGGCGCGCCCGTCAAGAGGCCACCGGTGACCTTCTGGAAGAGGCTGTCGAGCATGTCGACGTCGCGGGGGCCGCAGGTCGGACACGAGTCGGTGATTTGCGCGACGACGGGCAAGTTCGATTCGCAAAGTCGGTCGACGCACTGGATTTGCACGCAGCGCCCGCAGTTAGCCCCGGACGCCCACAAGGCCGACGGGATCGCGACCCGGTTTGTGTTGGCGATCGGCAGCCAGCTCATGAGGTTACAGTTGCCAGCGCCCACGGAGCTCGCTTCGTACGACGTGCCTTTCCCTGCAAACGACTGGGCCGCTGTCGATGCGATACCAAGCGCCACGAGCAGCACCGTCGAGTGATAAAGCATGCGGGCTCGTGCCGTCGCAAGTGAAACTGAGCCTGTTGTGGCGACAATCAAGACCGTCAAGCCCAGTGTCGTAGGACCAGGAACGGTGTTGCCGCTTTGCACAGTCTCCAGAGAAGGAGATGCGACATCGACGCGTGGTCCCAATGCCATCACGTTCGACCGATCCCACGTGGGACCATACTGTCGTTCTCGACACCTCCAGTGGTCGCTAATGCGACGGTCGACCGGTACGGCCGTGCGACAACGGTCTCTGTCGTGCGTTGGACTCGAGAGTACTCTAGGTTGGACTCTTGTGTAGAGAGAGGTGGCGAACTGAGAGGCATCGCGCTCGTTGTCGAGGTTGAAGCTGGTTCCCGCGGAATATTAATTGTGTCGGTCAATTATGTATTGTGGCAGGTCTGTCTAAGCCAATCAGGCACCGCGGCGTGTGAAATCACGCGATTTGATTGGGTCCTGAAATTGCCCTCGGGCCCTGGCCAACCAAACCACTGGCAACGAGGCCAAGGTCGTTCATATCCCGATATCTTTGGAAGCAAGATCATGGACGTGAGCTTCCCGCGCGGCAAGAAGCCGTCGGTCGACGACGCCTCCAAGAAGCGCAAGAAGCCCGAAGACTCGGACGTCCTCTTCGGCAAGAAGGACCATGCGGCAACCACCGACGCGCCGTCCAAGAAGAAGGTCCACAAGCACAAGAAGACCGAGGACGTCCCGGCCGCGCGCGCCGAGAAGGCCGCGGCCGCGCACTGCATCACATTCAAGAACCTCAAGGCCGGCACGCTAATCATGGGCGTGATTCGCCAGGTCAACGAGGCCGACCTCGTGGTCTCGCTCCAAACAACCTCAGCGGCTTCGTCGCGCTCAAGGAAACCTCGGACGAATTGCACAAGGTCGTCAAGCCCGAGGGCGGTGAGCTCGCGGCCCGCTTCTACGTCGGTCAGTTTGTCTCTGCGGTTGTGCTCAAGTGCTCCAAGGAAGAGAAGGGCAAGCGCATTGAACTCTCGCTCCGCGTCTCGCTCATCAACGCCAACTTGAGCGCCCAGCACATTGCGAAGGGCGCGTCCCTCTACGCGAGCGTCCAGAGCGTCGAAGACCACGGCGCGATCATGAACCTCGGCGTCCGCGGCTACACAGGCTTCGTGCCCAAGAAGGATCTGCACGCGCCGGACGCGCTCCCGGAGCTCGTGCCCGGCCAGGTCTTCTTCTGCGCCGTCAACTTGGTCAACGAACACACGCACACGGCGACACTCACGACCGAGAAGGCGGTCGTCGTCAAGACGGTCACTCGTGGCGACTCGTATACCATGTCGACGCTCTCGTTGGGCATGCTCTTGAACGTGCGTATCGACGAAGTGCTTGCCAACGGGCTGCGCGTCAACTTTCTCACGTTTTTCAACGGGTCGGTCGAGTACAACCACATGAGCAACCCGTGCCAGAAGAACTGGGCCGATGCGTTTAGCAAGGGCATGAAGGGCCGTGCGCGCATCACCGCGATTGACGCGCTGAACAAGACGATCGTGCTCTCGATGGCGCCGCACATTGTGCATCTGCAGACGCCCGAGTTTGCCGAGAACATTGGCGACATCATTGAGAGCTGCGCGATCCATCGCATTGACGCGGGCATCGGCATGCTCGTGAGCCTCGGCGGCCTCACGACCACGGACAAGCTCTCGTGGAAGGACTTCCGCCCGGCCTTTGCGCACATCTCGCGCTGCGCCGACTTCCGCGTCGAGAAGCTCGAGAAGCACTTCAAGCTCGACCAAGTGCTGCCCGGCCGCGTCGTCGGCTACTCGCTCTTCGACAGCGTCGTCAACGTGACGCTCGCGCCCGCCGCGCTCAACAAGGCGGCGCTCCGCCTCTCCGACCTCGCGGCTGGCACGGTCGTGAAAGGCAAGGTGGTCAGCGTCGAGTCGTGGGGCATCCTTGTTGACATTTGCGACGGCATCCGCGGCCTCGTCTCGGCTGCCCACGCGCCGACCGTCGCGCTCAAGAAGACCATGTCCAAGTACAAGGTGGGCCACGCGATCGAGTGCCGCGTCCTCAGCGTCGACGTGCCCGCGAAGAAGGTGCACCTGACGCTCAAGAAGGGCCTCGTGAGCTCGGAGCTGCCGCCGCTCACGTCGTACCAGATGGCGACGCCCGGCACGATGGCGCACGGCTTCATCACCAAGGTGGCCGAGTTTGGTCTCGTCGTTGGCTTCTACAACGGCGTGCACGGTCTCGTCCCGGCCGCGACACTCTTCAAGGCCGGCGTCGAGGACATTGCCGCGGCCTACACCACGGGCCAGGTGGTCAAGGCTTGCGTCGCCCGCTGCGACCCGATCAAGATGCGCATGACGTTGACGTTCGATACGACGTCGACCGTGACGCGTGCGACGGCGTCCGGCGTCGCCACGTCGTCGTCGGAACTCCCGGCCGGCGCCATCGTCGACGTCAAGGTCATTGAAGTGGACGAGAGCTTTGTGCGCGTCCAGACCAACGACGGCCTCGAAGGCGTCGTCGCCAACGCCCACTTGACCGACTTTCCTCGCGCGATCCCGGCGTCCGTGTCGGTCGACGACACGTTCTCGTGCATGGTGCTCTTCCAGGCCAAGGACGGTCTCCTCCACTTGACCAAGAAGCCGCTGCTTCTGGCGGCCAAGGAACAGAAGACGATGCCGTCGCGCTTTGCCGATGTGACGGAAGGCATGGCGGTCACGGGGTTTGTGCGCGAGATCCGCCCGTTTGGCGTCTTTGTGAGCTTCCTCAACAACCTCCAGGCGCTCGCGCCCATCGCGTTCCTCACCGACCGCTTTGTCAGCAGCGCCGACGGTCTTTTTGAGATTGGCGACACGGTGCACTGCTTTGTCGAGAAGGTCCACACCGAGAAGCAGCAGTTTATGCTCGACTTTCGCACGTGCGACAAGCCCCGCGTGGACGCCGACTATGCGCCGGCGCTCTTCGCAGAGCACGCGTTGTCGCACGGCGCCGCGCAGCCGTGGAAGGCGCACCACGTTGGCCATACCGAGGCCGCCGAGTTCGTCTCGGCCAAGGCGTACGGTCATGTGTGCTCGCTCGACGACGAGACGACGGTCATTGTCACGGAGACGGACGGCCTCGACTGGAAGGAGAACCAAAAGGTCAACGTCCGCCTGATCGACTACGACTTTGAAAAGCAAGTGTTCTTCGCGACCGCGTCCTCGGCGCTCGTCAAGGCCGGCGAGAAGAAGGCCCGCAAGAAGGCGCTGCGGCTCGAGGCCAACGCGGTCGTCGACGCGACGATTCTGCTCACGCGCGACGAGTACGCAGTTGTCGCCGTCGATTCGACGGTCGCTGTCTTGCAGGTCGCGTCGTTCTTTAGCCCGTCGTCGTCCTGTGCGTCGCTGCAGCTCGAGGCCGGCCAGGTGCACGCGTGCCGCGTCGCCGGGCACGTCCAGCAAAACCCGTTCGACGACCTCGCCGTCCTCGTCCTGCTAGCGTCCGAGAAGAAGGCGACCAAGACCAAGGCCAAGAAGACGGACCACGAACACTTGCCCAAGTACGCGGGCTCGGATCTCGTCCTTGGCGGCCTCGTCACGGGCCGCATCGTCGGTATCAAGGAAGACACGATGGAGCTCAAGATCAAGTGCTCCAAGAGCGCGGGCAAGGTCAACGCGTTCGTGTCGCTCGTCGACGTCGACAGCAACGGCGCCGGCGCGCACCCGTTTGATGCGTTCTCGACCAACACGGTCGTCACCGGCCGCATCGTAAGCATGGTCGAGAAGGGCGCCAACCAGCGCAAGCCCGTAGGCCCCGAGAACGTGGCCAACTTCCGCTCGCTCAACGTCTCGCTGCGGTCGGGCGACCAGTCGGGCGACGTTGCGGCCCGCGCCGACTGGGCGGGCGCCGGCCTCGAAGCCCTTGAAGCCGGTGAGATGATCCCGGGTGTCGTCGTCGAGACGGCCAAGGACGGTGTCATGATCCGCCTCAGCGCGCGCGTGGTCGGTTTTGCCACGTGCTCGAGCTCTCCTCGGACATTAAGGTCCTCGAGACGTTTACGCAGTCGTTTGCGGTCGGTACGCGCGTCAACTGCCGCGTCCTGTCGCTGGACGTCGAGAAGAAGCACATTGATCTCAGCTGCCTCGCGGCCGCGCGCGCGACGAACGTCGGCGACGTGGTCCTCGGCCGCATCAACACGAACGTCAAGGCCCTCGCGGCGCCGTCGATCATGGTGCAGCTCGGTGCCCACGCCTTTGGCCGCGTCTGCGTCACCGAAGTCGTCGACACGCCGTCGTCGCTCCCGTTGGCGACGCTCGAACACGGCGCGTTTGTCCGCGCGGTCGTGCTCTCGAACGACAAGCACGTGGTGGAGCTGTCGCTCAAGCCGTCGGCGGTCGCGGACCCGGCGTCGTACGTCGCGTTGGATGCGGCGCTGGCGGCCAAGGTCCCGGCGCTCGGCGACCTCGTCACGGGCTACGTCGCGACCGTCGGGTCGGGCGGCTGCTTTGTGCGCTCGCACCGCTCGCGCACGGCGCGTGTCCTGTTGCGCGAGCTCAGCGACGATTTCGTCAAGGAGCCCGCCAAGATGTTCCCTGCCGGTACGCTCGTGGTGGGCCGCGTGACCAAGGTCGAGAACGACAAGGTCGAATTGAGTCTCAAGGCGTCGGTGGTCACGGAAGGCGCGGGCGGTGCGTCGTCGGTGACGCTCGAGTCGCTCAGCGTCGGCATGAACGTCAAGGGCACGATCTCGAGCGTTCAAACTTACGGCGTGTTTATCAAGATCGAGAACTCGACGCTCAGCGGCCTCTGCCATATCTCGGAAGTCGCCGACTCGAAGGTCAAGTCGCTCGACGGCGTCTTCTCGGCCGGCGACTACGTCAAGGCCAAGGTGCTCAAGATCGAGAACCGCCGCATCTCGCTCGGCTTGAAGCCGTCGTACTTCGCGGACGACGAGAGCTCGTCCAGCGAAGACGAGTCGTCGGACGACGAGGACGACGAAGAGGAGAAGGAAGACGTGGACATGGAAGCGGCCGACAGCGACGACGATGAGGACGAAGAAGAGGAGAAGGAAGACGTGGACATGGAAGCGGCCGACAGCGACAACGATGAGGATGAGGATGAGGACGCCGAGGATGAGGACGAAGCGCCCAAGGCGGCCCCGTACGCGGACTTTGCCTGGGACGGCTTCTCGATCGAAAAGAGCAACAAGCCCGCGGACGACGACGACGACGACGACGAGGCGAACGCGACGGACGCGGTCTCCAAGGCCAAGGCCAAGCGCATGAAGAAAGCGGCCAAGGAGAACGAAGACATGTATGTCGCGTACCGCGAGCGCGCGCTCGCGGCCGGCGAGACGGTGCCCGAGTCGGCCGACGACTTCGAGCGTCTCCTCGCGGTCTCGCCGCTCAACTCGTTCCTTTGGATCCAGTACATGGCGTTCCACGTGTCGATGACGGACATTGCCGCGGCCCGTGACGTGGCGGTCCGTGCGACGACCAAGGTGACGTTCCGCGAAGCCCAGGAGAAGCTCAACGTGTGGGTCGCGTACCTCAACTTGGAGCACGACCACGGCGACGAGAGCTCGTTCGGGCGCGTCTTCAACTCTGCGCTCCGCGCCAACAACCCCAAGCACATGTACCTCAAGCTCATCGAGCTCTACGTGCGCCACGAGCAAGCGGACGATGTCCACGCGTCGCTCAAGACGATGCAGAAGAAGTTCAACACGAGCGCCAAGGTGTGGCTCCGCTCGTGCGAGTGGGCGATGCAGGAAGGCACGCCGGACGTGGCGCGCAAGGTGCTCCAGCGCTCGATGCAGTCGCTCCCCAAGCACAAGCACCTCAAGGTCCTCACCAAGTTTGCCTTGATGCAGTACGACTATGGCGAGATGGAGCACGGCCGGTCGATGTTTGAGCAAATCCTGAGCAACTACGCCAAGAAGATGGACCTCTGGAACGTGTACCTCGACCGCGAAATCAAGTTTGGCGAGCTCGCGAGCACCCGCCTCCTCTTCGAGCGCGTCGTCTCGATGGCCCTCTCGGCCAAGAAGATGAAGGCCATCTTCAAGAAGTACCTCACGTTCGAGATGGACCACGGCGACGAGGCCGGCGTCGCGCACGTCAAGGAGCTCGCGGCGGCGTACGTCGAGTCGTCGTCGGCGTAAGCCCAAGTACTATTTACCACGCGTGGGGCGACGACCGTGGATGCAATCGAGATAGATAGAAGAGACTGTACTCGACCCAACCGGGTTGCTCAATATATAGATGTATATGAAGATGAATCGCTAGAGTTCAATGTGCCGGCGCCTGTTGGGATGCACCGTCGACGATGGAGGTGGGGGTGTCGACGCAGGTGGGTTCGATGAGGGTGATTGCGTGCCCATGCTTCCCGCGGCTTGGCGCGCTCAGAGGTGCGTTGCGGGCGAGTATCGGCGGCCTGCGGTCTGTTACTACGCGCTGGTGGCGTCTGGTCGTGCGTAAGCGTGTCGGTTGTGCGCATGGGCTGCGATGTCTCGGCGTTGCGGAGTGCGCGAGGTCGGTACATGGGCTGCTCGTCTTGAGGCACGTAACCCTTGCGCACCTTGATCTCTTTCCGAAAGGTGCCATCAGGCCGCTGGCTGGATGGGATGATGACGTCGCCAGATGCAGTCTCGACGGCGCCGATCGGCAGTTGCCGGGCACGCTGCTGCAACGACGTTGGCGCGGGCTTTTCCTCCTCTTCGTCGTCGCGTTTGGCTTCTGGCGACGCCTTCTCTTCGTTCGCCAACGAGATGCTGCCAATACCCGCGGTGAGGTCGGAGACGGCGCTGGCTGGTGGAGCACGCGTGCTAGGCTCGCGTCGACCGCGCGGTCGGTACACAGGCTGCTCGTCTTGAGGGACATAGCCCTTGCGGATCCGGATCTCCTTGCGCACAGAGCCGTCCGCGCGTCGGCTCTCGGGCACGACGACCGAGCCATCGTCCTTTGCTACGGCGCCGAGCGGCAGACGACGCGCTTCCATCTTGGCTGCCTTCTAAAAATGCAGGCCATTGGTGGAAACTCTATCAAATATTGACCAATGCGTGCGCAATCAAGAACACCCTCTTTGGATGAAAGAACGCAACTCGATGTGCGGTAGGATTATCAAAAGTGTAACATTTGCGAATAAAATGGCGTGTGAATAGTCCATTAGGAGTGGATCAATGACGTGGCAGCGGGATATGCAAAGCTTTTCCTCTCGAGCCTTCGGCTCATACCGATCGCCTTGGCATGGGCCCACCAGTACATGTAAGTGGTATAATACATAGAGGTCCGGAATACTTTTATTATATACGTGTGGGATGGAGGAAGTGCTACCTAGTGTAGTCGGGCAGCGACAAACTGCCTACAACTCGTCCGAGTGCGTCGGCTCCTCTTCCGTGGGCTCGGGCGTCTTGGGTTCCTCGTCCGAGCTCGTCGTGGGCTCGTCGTCCTTCTTGGCCTCGTCGCCCTCGGCCGGCTTGGCCTCCTCCGTCGGCTTGGGCGTCGGCTTGGGCTTCTTGGCCAAGGTGGCCACGACCTTCTTGATGCCCGAAATCTTCTTGAGCACGTGCGCCGAGGTAAAGACGGGTTCGTCGTGCTTGGCGATCGCGTCCTGGGCGGCCTGCTGCTCCTTGAGCCAGTCCTTGAGCTCCGACACCTTGGCGAGAACATCGTCGCGCTCGTCGGCCGTCACCTGCGGCTTCGCATCGACCCACTGCGCCATGAGGTCGATCGTCGAGATGGCATACTGCTGCGCCTTGGCGACCGCTTCCGGCAACGCCGTGAGCTCCGAAACGCGGAAGACCATGTCATCGAGCTGCTTGCGCATGCCGCTGAGGCGCTCGTTGTACGCCTTGGCGTCCAGGTCGTCGCCGTCCTCGTAGAGCCACTCTTCCGTGGCGTCGACGGCCGCGCTCAGCGTCTCGCGCTGCTCCGTCGTCGTGACCTTTTCCAGCACATCGTCGTGCGACGAGAGGTACTCCCGCGACTCGTACACGAACGCCTCGAGGCGGTTCTTGGCCTCGGCGTTGGCCTTGCGGATGTTGTCGACCTTGTCCATCTCGGCCAGCATCGCGATCGACTCCTTCTTGTCACGGAAGGTCATGGGCAGAATGGCCATGCCGGCTTCCGGGCGGTGCGCCGCGTCCGACCGCACCACCGTCAGCGTCACGCGGTGGACCTTGGTCTTCTTGATCATTTCCGGGACTTCGTCGTTCTCGGGCGTCGTCTTGTCGTCGTCCTTGTCGTCGTCGGCACTGCTGCTGCTGCTATCGTCGGCCTTCTTGGCCGCCTTCTTCGTTGGCGCGGGCACTTCAATCTCCTCTTCCAACGTCGCCTCGGCCTTGACAATGGACGCCAAGCCGCTCGCATCGAGGTTGAAGCTCAGCGTCACCTTGGGCTCGCCGAGCTTCTTGTCCTCCATCTTCTTGGCGAACGCCTCAATGCCCGTAATGTTGTAGCGCGAAATGATCGACGAGACGCCAAGCGGCAGTGCCGACGGCTTGTCATACCGAAACGTGCACGAGACGTCGTCGGCGTGCGAGAACGACACCGACTTCTTCACGTTGAGCTTCTGGCGCTCGCCAAAGAGAGCCGCGCGCTTGACCCAGTGCTTGGCCTCCGGGTGGTCGTCGTCCGCGGCGTGCGACGCGAGGTCCACAAGGCGGACGCCGACCGGAAACGAGGCAATGTCCGTCATGCCCACATGGCGCACGCGGAACGACGTGCTGAGGTTCGCAGCGTTGAAGGCCGCGCCGAGCGCCATGGCTTCGTCGCCGTTGAGGCGCTTGCCGAGGTCCCGCTGCACAAACGCCTGCAAGAGTGCTTGGATCTTGGGAATGCGCACGCCGCCGCCAATGATCTCGACCGCGCTCAAGTCGCCGACCGTCAAGCCGGCTTGGTCGAGCGCCGACTTGACGGGATCGAGCACGCGGGCAAAGAGGTCGGCCGCAATCTCCTCGAGCTCAGCACGCGAGGCGTGGCCCTTGTAGTCCAAGTCGGCGTGCAGGCTCGGGACGATGACGGGAATCGCTTCGTTGGCGCTGAGCACAATCTTGGTCTTGCGCGCCGCGGCACGGAGCTTGGCCATCGCGCGCGGGATCTTGCGCACGTCGTCGCCGTTCGTAAGCTTGGCGTTGAACTCGTTCGCAAACTTTTCCGCGAGGCGCAAGTCAAATTGCGCGCCGCCGAGCGTCTCGTCCCACGCTTTCGCGAGCACGTCAAACTCGACGATCGTCTTGTTCTTCTTGAAGCCGTCGGGCACGACGCGCGTCTTGTACTCGACGATGCTCACCTGCAGCGACGTCGAGCCCATGTTGTAGAGCATGATGCGCTCCGGCGTGTTGGGCTCGGGCGCCTCGTAGTCGACGCCGTGGTGCAACGCTGCGGCCGTGTTTTCGTCAATCAGCGACAAGACGCGGATACCGGCAATCTCGGCGGCGTCAATGATCGCTTGGCGCTGCGGCTCGGCAAAGTACATGGGCACCGTGATGACCCAGTCCTTCACGGGCCCTTCGGCAAAGTCGTTGGTGATCTGCTTGGCGTGGCCAAAGACCATGGCCGCGAGCTCCTCGGCGTGGAACGTGTGCTCGCTGCTGTGCTGGAGCGCAACCGAGCCACGCGTAAGGTTCTTGGTCAGCGTGTACGGAAAGTACTCGTTCTCGGTCAAGCTCGACACGAGCGGGTGGTCGACCGTCGCACCGAGGAAGCGCCGGATCTGCGAGTAGGCCACTTGCGGGCGGCGCACCTCAATGTTCATCGCATCCGCGCCGTACACGCGCTCGTCGCCGTTGAACGACACGATCGTCTCGGTCTTGCGCTTGCTGTGCACGTTGGTCACAATCTCAAAGGGCCGGCCGGGCTTGACCAGCGCGATCTTGAAGAACTCGCCGCCAAAGTCGACGCCGGCGACCGAGGCCGAGACCGTCGCGACGAGCGCCGCCAGCAGCAGCGGCAGGAGGTGGCTCAGGCGCATCTTACTCCTAGCCCACGTCTCGCAAAATGGCTCTGAAACGCCCAAGTGGCGAGTAGACGGCCACGTGTTCTGCTCATTGCCATCTCCATACTAAACAGAAGTGTCGCGACACGAACGCATTCGATTGGCTGAAATCCAAATTGCGTGGACGAATCAGAGGCGCTGCACGGCCGTATCCGGACGCGCGGCGAGCCGGATAGAAGGCTCTGGAATCTTTTTGACCCAGGATACCGGTACGCTGACGCGGCCACGTATCGGCTCAAAGTGGCACGTGGCAGTCGTCGGGCGCGAAGGACAATGCTATGGTCGAGATGCAACCATCGCCATGCGCTAGCCAACGGCGCAGATATGGCTCTTGACGGCGAAGGCCATCGAAGGTGGATGTGGATATGCGATGCATTGGCGTGCGTGGATGGCAGGTGCCATTCGAAGAAGCGCCCAGCCACGTGTACAGTCGAAGTGGCGCTGTAGAACCGACAAACCATTCGTCACCTCTCCTTTGCACGCCTGCGATGGCGACTCTGGTGGTCGAGGAAGCTGCTAGCATCGCCATCGCATTGTTCAAGCCTCCAAAAGAGAGGTGATGACTTGCACGTCGGTTCAACCGTGGCATAGCGCTTCTTCGAATGGCGCTGCGGACTTCAAGTCCCTACATCGCAGCCGCCCCAGCACCAATTCTCTGCGCTGGCGGTCACGCCACCGTGCATCCACGTGGCATCCTACGGCTGCGACGTGGCTCGGGTGGGTTGAACTTGTGGGAGCAGGTGCCAACTGCAAGTCGACCAATGGATGACGCTGAGGAGGACTGAATGAATATATGAAGTAGAGTTAGAGCTTGCTCAAATGCTGGGTGTGGTTGATCTGCCGCAAGCACGTTTGGACGAGCTTGGAGGCGTCGATGGCCGTGCCCCACGAGCAGCAAATGCCGGATCCGCCGTGGCCTACGCAGCATGAGATGATGCGAAGAAGAGTCAGTGTAGCACACACCGTAGTTGTGGACGATGTAGCCGCCGTGCGCCGACGCCTCGGTCTCGACTCGCGCGCCGCCGCGCCGCTTCGGGCGATGGCCCGTGCGCACACCGAGAACCCGCGCGTGCTCAAGCGACGGTAGAATCGCCTTGCACTTGGCCAAGATCGTCTCGGTCACGTGGTCCTCGACGACCAAGTCCCACTGGTTGTCTTCGCTCGTGCCGCCGCAAATGAGGTCGCCGTTCGGGCGCGGAATCATGTACGCGCCCGAGTCCATATCGAGGATCGCCGCACGCACCCACGGCGCGTGCACGCGCACGACTTGGCCCTTGCACGGATACATGGCCTTGTCGTAGACATGCGCGGCGAGGCCGGTGCAGTTGACCACGATCGTGTCGGGCGTGGCGAGCGCGTGGAGGTCGGCGACGCATTCACGCCGGATATCAATGCCCCGCCGGCGCAGCTCGGCGTTGAGCCACGCGAGGTAGACGTCCATGGCCGCGATCGGTGCGTCGTACATCTGAAAGTGGCGGAACTTGTCGCTGAGCTCGGGCACGCCGGCGCGCCGCAGTAGCGCGTTGGCGCTCGACGGCGTCTCCCACTCGTCATAGCTCGTGCAAGCGTTCTTGGCGTCGACGTTTGTCTCGAGCGGGCGCTCGCTCACGGTGAAGCTTGGTACGACATGGATGCCCGTCTCGGGGTGGTCCCTGCCCATATTCTGTGAGCCTCCAGAAGAGATGCATAGCTCATAGAATGTACATACCGCGAGAGCTGCGTGAGCTTGTACAACGTCGTTGCGCACCACCCGACGGCCGTCGGGTTGGCCTCCATCTCGTACGGCGGGCTAATGCAGCGTCAGCAGTGTGCTCAAGGCGACAGGCGCGCGTACCTTTCCCAGAGAGCGCCGGCGACGCAGGACACGGTGTCTTCGGACGCATCTTTCGTGAGCACGACGATGGAGCTTGACGGAACACCATCGAGCGAGAGCTGCAGGGCAGTCGTGAGCCCGACGACGCCAGCGCCAACAACCACGATGCGACCCTTCATTTTTCAAACTGACCGTTGCAGCCAGCGCAAATAACACAGTGTTAGGATGCGCATCGAACCCCATCGATCACGGGGCTTTGCAGCTCTCAGCCGCCACCTGCGCGAAGCAAGGGCCACCATCTGCATCTTCCGGCGCCAGCACCTTCGGCGGATTACACCCCATGCGAGCAGAATGTAGGTCTGTTAACTTGAAGCACTGCTGAGGGTTATAACACTTGACAAAGTGGTTCTTGCCGCGTATCTAACAGCGTGGCGGTTCGAGATGGCGTCGTTGGCGACGGAGCTGCGCTCGATCAAGGGCAAGCTCGAGAAGGCCTTGGCCGTCGAGCCCGACCCGTTCAAGTGGACGAGCGACGTGTACGAAAAGGTACCTCCGCAAAGCGCGCCAATCGTGCGAGGGCGCCGACTAGGTGAGCACGCTTCTCGATGACGCGCTGGAGAACGACTTGGGCGACCCGCGCGACCGCGATGGCATTGGCGCGACGACGATCGTTCAGGCCGCGCACAATGCGTGCATCGTGTACGAGCGCCACCAGATCAAGCTGGTTCTTGCGCGCGCGCCGGTGCGACAACCAGCCTCTCCCGCCTATAATGCGACGACGTGTATCGATAGAGCGCCGACGTCGTGCGCCTCTGCAACGGAAGCAAGTCATTGGCGACGAGTGCTTGCGCATCCTCAACGGGCTCAACGCGATGAGCTCCCAGACGTTTAGCGACGCGGTCGTGTGCCCGGAGCTCAACGGCCCGATCCTCGACAACCCGCGCATCGACACCATGACGCGCGATATGCGCGCCCGCATCATCAAGGTGCGATCGTGACGGCGGTCGCATAGTAGAAACAGCGATCTGCTACTAGATTCGCATGGCGTATCGGCGCATTGATGGCCTTGGTCGGCTCGAGGAAGGGCTGCGCATGACGGCGGAAGCGACGCGGGACTTTGCCACTCTCGAGGCCAAAGTGGTGAGCGAGATCGAGTCGCGGCAGCGCGCCGAGGCCGACGCGCGCAACAATATGGATCGCACGTCGTCGGAGCGCAACTCGGCCGTCTTCATCACGTAGTGTCGCGTGCTCTTGGGCGGTATCAAACGTGCGGTGTAGGATGCAAGCCCAACGCAGCAGTCGCAAGAACTTGGCCGCGCGCAAGCCCAAGGAATCCGGGACGAGCCTTGACTCGCTGGATCTGCAACACCTCTTGGCGTCGCAGCTCGAGCACACAACGACAGCGTCAACGGCGCCTGTAGCTGGCATTCCCGAGGAGGACCGTGGCCGCGAAGTGGAGGCGTTCGCGCAGTCCCTCTTCATGGACGACGAGGCCGATGCCGGCGGCAACCCGATGCCAATGCCAATGGACACAACGCCGGTGGCCATTGATGGCAAGAAGGAGCTGCCGTCCAAGCTCCGGGCCAAGCGTGAGGAGCGAGAGCGCGAGCGGCGCAACAAGCTGCTCCGAAAAGCCGGTGAGCCCGACGACGACTCTAGCAGCAAGCACACCACCAAGATGGTCGATCTCAATGCCTCGTCCAGCAAGGTACACCACGTCTCATCCCCCTGTCGCTTTCGACGCATGGAGCTGTAGGCCAAAGACAAGATTCTGCATGGCCGGCGCTCCAAGCAATACAAGTACGTACATGCATAGCACGCGTTCATCGGTCGATAAAATGCGTAGACTGAAAAACGAAGCTGACAAGCGCCGACTCCACGAGGTGAGCAAGGCGCGGGCCGACGTCGAAGAAGGCGACGACGACACGGACGACGAGAAGGTCCGGCGGGCCGAAGCACGCAAGTTTCTAATGAAGTACGACGGCGACATTTGGGCGGCAACCAAAACGGGCAAACTCGACGTGCTCCAAAAGTACTTTCTCATCGAGTCGCCTGCCAAGTGCGTCGCCCCTTGTTACTGTACACGTCACTCACTACATAGCGACGGTGTAGACTGCTTGTATTGCACAACCGTGACGTGGACGAAGGCCGCCGGACACTACTGCACACGGCCTGCTGGTGCGATGCGCGGGCTTGTAAGAATGCGTGCGAGCGGTGTAGGTGGGGCCATGTGGCCGTGGTCGAGTACCTCTTGCGAATGGGCGCCGACGTCGACGCCGTCGACAGCGTACGAACCGACAACGGCGTTGTGATCGACGCTCCGACGACGGCTAGGTGCTGAGCAAAACGACGCCGCTCATCGAGGCAGCGCGCGCCGGGCGACTCGACGTCGTCAAACTTCTTTTGAGCGAGGGCGCTTGCGTGAGCCACCAAGACTTTCACGTGTGTCATCATCCACAAAGATCGTAGTCGGAGATGACATTTTGAGGATCATTAGGGCGACACACCGCTGCACTGGGCGGCCCGTCGGGGCTGGAACAGCCTCGTCATGCACATGGTCCGCTTCACGGAGCAAGCGACGCCCGGCAGTGTCCAGCGCCTTCTCTCGATTGAGGTTGACACGCTTACCGCTTGGTATACTTCAATGCTGGGAATGCGTAGAACTACCACGGGTACATCTGCGTCGAGGTCGCACCAACGTTGTACTTGGCGGATGTGATTCGGAAAGAGTTCGCGTTCGTCATGGCCGCGTCCCGGGACCAGCGGCGCGCGACGCGGCAGCACGGCCTCACGCGCATGCGACGCGCGTCCATGCACATAGTGGCGCCCAAGAGTCTGCAACATTCCATGTCGATGCACGACGTGGCGTTTGAAAATGTCATCGACGTCAAGGCCCAAGTGCTCCACGACCTCGCGCAACTCGGTCTCAACCTCAACGCGTACTCGTACTCGCGGGCGTAACCAGCACTTGACACCACGCTACATGAAAGAAACCTCAACTCGACCACCAACTCCGGTAGTTTGCTCCAGCGATGGACTTGGCGACGGCAATTTTGTATTCTGCGCGAGTCGAGATGGAAAAGCATCAACGGGTCATGACCCTTGAAAAGCAACGACCTTAGTACTTCGCGCGGTGTGCAATGCGTTGGTTTCCACGCAGCCAGACCTACTCGCATCACGCCAGCACAACGGTGACTGTTGCCAGCGGCCGAAAAGTGCGCGCCAGTTGCAAGAGCTTTTACGCAACTTATAGTACAGGCTGCGGTTCCGACGCTCATCCAGACGCGTCTAGAGCAATGACGTCGTGCTTCCCGATTGTCTTGGCTGCAAAAGTTCAACTCATTGATGTCTAAGTGCAACAACGAGACCACCCTGCTTGATATCCGAAGACACTGACTAATCCAGAGCAGAACCAGGATGTCATGCCCTTATTTTAGGTCCGTCGATCATTATATTAGGTCCAATATTTGGCTTGGACACGAGCACACTCGATGGCGGCAGCAGGAGAGCCGTCGGGCCGATGGCATCGCTACAAGGCTGCGACCGATGCCTTTCTCGGCTGGCTGCAACGCACGACAGCCAAGAAACATCGGAAGGAGGCCCAGGCGACGGCCGAAGCGTGGACCACGGGCCAAATCTGGGCAGCAGCCATCACCGTCGCCGAGGCAGGCGTCCCAGTCCCGACCGACGTCTCGCGCCACCTGGCGACAAGCATCCGCCTGCGCTGACAGGCTTCCCGGTGCTTGCCGCACGAAGAAGGCCACATCTACTTTCTCAACGTGCTCCGAGCGATTCAGGCGATGCTAACACCGCTCAAACCACCGTCGCTGATACCGACGACGAGGTCTGGTGACGGGCTCTCGAACGTGTTTGAAGCACTGGCTCTGGATGACACGGGCGACGATGCCGCCGCTGACATGCCACCATTTGATGGCACCAAGTTTGTGCCACCTGAAGCTCCGACGCCGGAAGAAGCCGCGCGCGCCGCTCGCCAGGCGCAGCTGGAGGCCGATCGGTTCCACGCCCTCTGTTCCCTTCGGGATGTGTACGGCTTTTGGACGAGGTCGAGGCCGCTTGGACCGCGTTCAAGCACGGCGAGACGTCGCTCGTGGCTGCAACAGCCGTCACCAACCATTGCATCATCGTGGCGCAGTCGCTCTTCTCGGAGCTCACGCTCGAGCTCCCGTACATCGAGTCGATTGAGTGTATTGACGTGCTTCTCGGCGATAGCGATTCGCTGCGGTATCTTGTGTTTCAGCAAGGCTTGCCGCTCTGCGATGCCGTCGAGATCTGCGTGCTCGCGCGCAACATAGCCGCACGTGATGGCCATGCTGCCTCGCTTCCAGTCGCCCAGGCAGCTACGTTATCGGAGAAGGAAGCCATGGAGCTTCACGCGTTCTTCATGAACGAACTCAGCGTTCTGGTGTCGACACGGCACGGCAGGGACCTCATGTTCATTCATTATGCCTTCAAGAGGCCTTATCGCGACGCGACCGGCGACCTCCACTGTGATTCGACCGCATTCGAGGTGCTCTCGAGTCTCTTTGTCGCCAAAGTCGTACCGCGGCTCGCTGTCTCGGTCCGAGCCGACGCACTCAAGCTCGTGCCAGAGATCGTCGGCGTGAGCCCGTTTCTCCCGGTCTTGAAGGTGTACCTCGACAACGACATCGGGATAGCGCCCATGATGCTCGTCTTTGCGACGACATGTCTCGCGCAAGCCATGAGCATCGTGGACGGTCCCGGCTCCGATCATATTACATGCGCCTCGGTCGCTGCGACCACCTCGGCTGCGCTCAAGCAGCAGTTCAAGAGCGTCCTTGTGTGCCGCCAAGGCCGCCGCGCGGAACAAGCAAGCGCGAGCAACAAAGCGGACTCGCAACTCGACGCCTTTCTCGCGACGGTATCGGGGTCGTACCACGCGACGCTCGGTGTTGTGACCAAAGACGCGCAGTTTGCCTCCGACGCCGACCGTGCGCGGTGGTGGCTCAACCCGTACATGGCCGGTCAGTTTCTTCTCGCGGGCGCGACCTTGCTCAATGGGGCCCCGGGGCATTCGCTGCTGAGCACGGCAATGAGCGACAGTCGACTGGTGCTTCACGTCTACAACGCGCTGCGCGTCTGCGGCCACGTTGAACGCGTGCCCGAGTTGGAGAAACTCGTCGACTTTTTCGCCAACGACAAGCGCATGTGGCCGACGGGTCGGCCGACGGCGCCCGGCGCGTTTACGACAAGCTACATGATGACGGACGGTGCGCCATTGGAGACGATGGCGCGGATGACTGCCATTACGAGCGCGCCATTCGAGCGCGCCTCGGCGGCATTCGAGGCGGCCACCGCCTACCGCGAGAAGCGGGATCGTCGCAACAAGCTCCAGAAGGCCCGCGGCACGCCCACGCTGCGCAAGCGCAAGACGACCAACGCAACGTATGTGGACCAGTGTCGTACGTACCGGTACGCCACCCGCGCCGAGCCTCTGCCGCAAGGTGCGAGCCTCCCCAACCTGCGCGAAGTTCGGCGCGTGGTCGACGACGAGTGGCGCCGATTTCTGCACCTCGACTTGATCGCTGTCAACAATATCTTGACCGACTTGGCGACCGACATGCTCGCGATCGTGATCCAGTCGCCACCGCTAAGCATCAACGGCAACCGCGAGGGCTCTCGGCTCGTCAAGAGAAACGTCACGGAGCTCCTTGCAATCTGCGATTTCGGTGTCGGCACGGCGATGCTCCCCGCCATCGCCACCATCCTCGTGGCTGCAAACAGCAAGCTCCGCGATGCCCATCTCGTCCCAATCGATCGATGGGATGATCAAGTGTAGTCGTGCGGGTACGAATTGAAGAAACCCGATCCCTCGCGCTGCTACTGTCCTCGTGCCACTCCGTACGGATTGTCTTTTGGTGCAAGCAACAGTATTCGACGTCGCATGACCGACTGACAATATGTTCACCTAAAAGATACTACTCGTATTACATTCCGGCATACACTATCTGTACCCATTTCCGCAGTAATACAGGTAACGTTAGACGTGTCGGATCTGGAGCTCAGTCACACTCGCCACCGCGTCCAAAGGCGGTAGGAGCACCAAATCTTTTCGCAGCGCGTGGGCATCTTCCTTGCCATTGCCATCGGTCTCATTGGGCGCAGCGTTGGTTGTGAGGACGTTGATGTCGTCAGAAATGAGCCAAAACACAAAGACGAACGGGAGCAAGCGCGAGCCGACAATGATGAGCTGGACGATCCAGAGATGCTCAAAGTTGCGCTCGGTGATGCCCGCGTGCTGCGCAATGAGTGCGCCGAGGTAGCCCGAAATGAGGTACGAGCCGTTCATGATCGAGTCAAAGCCCGCAAACATCGTGCCTTCGACGCCGCGCGGGCAGAGCTTGGCGCAGAGTACCGTGATGGGCATGATCTGCATGTACTTGACGATCACGATCGCAATGTCTTCGCCAATCACAAACGCCTTGTCGGGGATCCCAAGACTCACGTTCGTGCGCGTCACGAGGAGGAGCGTCGCAGCGTTCGCACAGACGACCCCGATCTGACTGCCTACAAAGACTGACCGGAACGCGACGTGCTTCATCTTGGCTTGGTACAAGAGCGTCGTCGCCATCGCCGTGAGCGCGCCAATCAGCGAGAGCGACGCGATAAAGTTGGGCGAGAAGCCGAGCTCGCTCGTCGCAAAGTAAAGTAGACCTGGACGATCGTCGGCGAGAGCGAGATCGAGAGGAGGAGGAAGAGCGCCGGCCGCCACACGAGCGGCGATGCAAACGAGGTCGCGAGCAGTCGGCTCTGGCGCCGCATGCGGACGCGGATCGAGTCGGTGCAGGGATTGCGGGCCTCGACCATGACACAGGATAGGACGACGTACGGCAGTGGCATGACGAACGACATGACGGTAAAGACGCGCCGGGGTCCGAGGGCAGTGATGAGCGGGCCCTTGAGGATCGATGCGAGCACGACGCCCAGCGCCTTGTGGAAGGACGCAATGCTCTGGAGGTTCTGCGCGCCCGACGCGACGTCCTTGCGCGCTTGCTCGGCGAGGACCGCGTCGATGATGACGTCAATGAACGCGTACCCGACCGAGCGCAGGAGGAGGACGCCTAGTGCGAGTTCGTACGAGCTCACGATGTTTGGCAGCCCAAGCAGCGACGTGCAGCAAAAGGCCAAGCAGCCGCAGAGGACGTAGAACGGTTTGCGGTGGAAGCCGCCGATCGAGACCGTGTCTGTGATGAGTCCCCAGATCGGCTTGAGCGCCCATGGCAGCATGAGCGTCGTCGTCGACATCTGCGCGACGACGGGCTCAGATGGAACTCGTCCTTGAACATGTAGTCGACGGCGAAGAGGTCGATCGAGATGAGGCCCGAGAGCAAGTTGGTGCCGCAGAGCACGGCCAGCGTTCGGAGGCCGTAGAGCTCGACGAGGCTGCGTAGCCAGCGCCCGCAGGCGCCGAACGGCGAGACGCATCGGCGGCGAGCTGCGTCGTCGCCTTGGTCGGTGACGTCAGCGGGCTCCATCGCGTTGACGACCCTGACGACGAAAGATTCGGTCGGTTTTATTTAAATATTTCTGAAATTATTATTGTTTTGGATTGCGATTACGGCCACTGCAATTCGGGGTTACGATCCATGAGCTAATGGCCTCGCCTATAACCTGTACCTTCGCACGCGCCATCACGGCAACTTGAAGCCATGGTCCATGCGCCGGTGTGACTCTTCCCACGGCGCGGCTGCCTTGTGGATGCAAGATGATGACGTCGGGCTTGGTCGAGAGGATTCGTTTGTCGCCTCGCCATTGGCCTATATTTTGTCCAATCAAAATGCACACATGAAATAGTATATGGGTGGTAGTGCTGGGCGTCCCCGAGGTCTCGCTGGTCCGTTGCGCATGCGCTCGCGCTTTCTGCTGTCTGTTGGAGGGATAAGATTGTAGAAAGCACTGCATCGCCAGCCTCTGCAGTGCGCAACAGCAACGTTGGCGGGTTCACGCACACTAATTTTGTCTACTCTATAATATGATACGATGGTATAGAGAATAAAAGGTTTTTCAAGGTGGCCGCGTGGCATGTGGGGACATACCGGAATACATTGCGACGCAAGATGGGCGCCTGGTTTTCCCGCCGGAAGGACGAAGATGACGATATCGACGAGGTCGAGGAAGAGAAGCGTACGAGATGCATGGTCGACTGCTTAAAGAGGACGCTCATGGCCATGAGTAGCGCTCACGAAGATCGACACGGGCGACCAGGCCGCCGTGAAGAACCTCCTCGATGACAGCGTCGTCGAGCACCTCAAGGACGAGGTCAAGTACGGCTTCAACTACAAGACGGACAACCTCAAGATGCTGACGATGGTCGTTGCAATCGCCTTTGCCATTGGCACTGTGTGGCACGAGACGCCGTTCCCGGACGACAGCAACATCATCCTTGCGTGCGCTGGCGGGTACGGCTGCCACATCCTATCGCTCCGCTCTTCTCATGTCCTTATCTTCCAATGCTAGCTTCTTCGTTCTCAACTCGCTTCTCACGGGCTACCTCATGTTCATCGAGAAGGACATCATTGCACGCGTCTACCCGGACACGGTGCGCATCTTCAATGGCCACCTCTCGATCTGACATCCAACAGGCGCGGCCCGAGGATCAGTTTTACGTTCGGACGCGCATTCCGCAGTACAAAGACCACTACCACCTGACGTTCGAGTCGACGCTCACCCCATCGAAGAAGGTCAAGGCCGAGCTGTACATTGGCACGTTCTTTGACGAAGAGGGCCACTTTGACGGCCCTGCGTTCCACAAGGAGGTGGGCGCCTTGGTCGCCAAGTACACCAAGGCCAAGACCGACTAAGATAATCTTCATCCATTCCCATATACATTGCGAGGCCGTCGATTTCTACGCCGTCGCGTCCGGGTCCTTGTACGCCACGAGCGTGTCGACGCGATGGATCTACTATGGTGTGGAGAGGACGACCAAGCACGCGATTCTTCTGTACCTTTGTCGTGAACGAACGCAAACGCACTTGCATCGAGTTCTCGACGAAGCGCGGATCCGACTCTTCCCACGCCTGGGGAATCTCGAGATCCTTGTCCGTGTACAGCAGCAGGTCGAACGCACACGCCTCGTTGAGAAGGGGAAGGAACGACACGCTGGCAGTAATCTGGCGCATGATGGCTTGGATTTCGCTCATGATTTCACGCTCGTCCTTGGTCGAGATGCGCTCGCTATGCACATCCGCCATGCGTGAGACAGGCTGTTCGTGCACGTTGGAGTTACCCGTGCTCGTTCGGCGGCTCGGCAAACACATCAAAAACCCATCGTTCCAAGACCGAGTTCGAATCCACGCCTGCGACAACCAGCACAAGCTTCTGGACATGACCTGCTACGAGCCATCCTATGCACGACACCTCAGTCCGCCTGCAAAAGGTGGCTGCTCACCAGAGAGCTGTTCGAGGACGGTCGCCAAGAAGGCCTTGAGCTTTTCGTCGGCCGTGACCACCATGGCGAGGCCATACTTGGACACGCGCGTAAAGCTTTCGGGTGGGTAGATGCCACGCTGGTAGAGAATGCTAGCAGCGCATTAGCGTTGGCTCGCGGCAGCGGTGGACGTACTTGTTGATGCTAAAGGCAAAGAACTCGGTCACGATCGCCGCCGAGCCCTTGAGCGTGATGGCCTTCTGCGTCTGCGCTTGCTCCTACGCCAGCGCTATGAGCTGTCGCCATGGCTGACGCACGCCATCGTCGTCGTCGTACATGGCCCACCATCGTGCTCGCGCGTCGTGTCCCGTTGGCAATTGACCGGAAAACGGACGCGTATCCGGAGGTGGCTCTCGAAGAAACGCATACAAAGATCAAGCTTGGGTATAGTCCGGAAGCTTCGAAATCCGGATACGCAGCTGGAAATTTGGTCCAGGCAGAATGACGGTCATGGCGCATCTGATTGCGCAGAAGCTTCAGAGTCGCCTCCTGTCCAACACGGGAAGCTGTCACGGCACGCGGCCGCGTGCGGTATGCGACAGCATCGCGTCTATTTCAAGTGAATTTTGCAAGTGCACCTCGGCACGCCAGTCCTCTCGCCGCAGCACAGATGCAGTGATGCCTCTTCTATTGCGCAGTATGTAGAAACTCTACCGCGGACTGGTCAAGCCTGACCCGTGCATTGCACGGTAACAAAGACACCTCGCGATCGTCGACATCGTCTGGCCGACGCTGAACAAAATCCATCACGCGCAGCTGCGCGGTCCAGCTACTACTACAACTTTTGGCCAGGTTATTCGTATCGAAGCGCCGGCTTCCATGGGCATCTTGAGAGTGCTGTTTCGAAGGAGATTATGATTCGCGACATCGTCGTCTCCAGCGTAGTATGAGATAAAAAAAGATAAAAGCGTGGGCAAAAAGGGGCACCGCCGTCGTCGCAAGTGGCTCGCCGAAAAAAAGGCGTGCGTAAGCAACCGATGGCCAACGGTCGCTATACGGGAGGCACGGCGGCGTGATCTGTGTCGTACCCTTGGCACACACGACGTGGCGTCAAGTGTGTTGCGGGCGAACGACATGCAGCTTGACCTCGTGGTGCTGGAGACCGCTCTTGTCACGTTTTTTCGCCCCCGAAAAGCAGTCAAAACCTCATGTCCATAGCCTGTCTCTTGCTGGTTTGCATAATCCTCCGGCGACGACCACAATTTTATTGAAACTTTCTTGTGTCCAAAACGCCGTGCTTTGTATCCCCACTCGCCCATTGGCCGAAACAAGTGCACGTTGGAGGCTTTATGGCCAATCCACGGCCAGGATTTCGCACGTGGCCAATCGGCGGCCGAATAAAACATGCGTCACACGCCCATAAGAAATGTCCGGCGTCAAACGTGCGCCAAACCCAGCTGGGGGCGCGTTTAAACACATCTCGGACGCCGCCGGATGCGCCAAACCATCATTTCCGAATTTTCTCGCGACCCGAGAAGACCTCCAGCGCCACTTACAGACCCGACCACCATGTTGGAGTGCGAGACCATGACCCCGATGACGACGACCAACCAAGATGAGATCTTTGGCTACGAACACAACAGCGCGATGGACATGCCCGAGCTGCCGTCGACGCCCGAGACGTCGCCGCGCCAGCTCGTGCGCTCCAAGAGCTGGGGCAGCCTCGCCCGCGCGGCCACGACGCCCAAGCTCCTCAACGTCCGTGCGCCCAAGCAGCAGACCCACTGGCGCCGCAGCCAGCCCGCAATCCTGCAGTGGGCGCCGCTCGACATCTCGGTCGCCGAGATCCGCATCGTCTTGCTCCAGAAGAGCTCGCTGACCAACACGCGGTCGTACACGATCATCGCCGACCACGTCGAGAACAACGGTCTCTTTGTACTGAAACAAGTGCCTGCGTCGCTCACGAAGGACAAGGACTACTTCGTGCGCTTCATGTCGATGGACGGCAAGCTCTTTGTCGACAGCGAAACCTTCTCGATCGGAGAGTAAGGTGGCCGCGCCGTAAATTATATATCTAGTATTTAAGCATCCCTATCAACTATTCCATCATTATACACATGTACTTCTACATCTCTCTCATCATCTTGCCCTTCCCCACGGCCCATCATCCTGTGTTTGAATCTGCGCTTGCTATATTATCGCCACCATGGTATTACGTCGACTACGACTACGACCACGACTCGACCACATACCGCTTGTGGCGGACCAAGCTCTTCATGAACACCTCAGCCTCCTTCAAGGATACTTGGCCTTCACTGACGACGATATCCCGGATCGCCTCGTACACATCTGTCGGCATGCGCTTTGCCGAGCCAGCGACGAAGCAGTAGCCGCCCTATGCATCGAGAGAACGCCATCATGAGTATGATACGACGCGGCTTTTTCCCATGCCACGTACATTGGTGAGGACGCGGAACACCATGGCGCTGGCTTCCGCGAGCTTGGCTTGCACGTACAGCTTGTAGCCAAAGTCGCGCGAGAACGCCGCGTGGAGCGACGTGAGTTGGCCCGTGGACACGAGTGTCTGCCACTCCCCCTCGTATAGAAAGTCCTAGGTGGCGCGCTACTTCAACCAGCCGCTCCGAGGCAAGGGCCAGAGTGGGACGCACCTTGGCGGCGTGGCGGCACCCAACAAACAAGTGGGTTTCGCCGTTTGCCGTTGCGTGGGCTGCTCGGCTTTGAATGAGCGCGCGCATGACGGCGACGCCGGTGCCAGGTCCGATCAGCAGCACGTTGGCTTGCGGCGGCGGCGGCGCAAAGAGGCCGGCCTTGATCCAGATCGGAAGCGTCGCCCCGATAGGAAGCGATGCCACGTAGGCCGAGCAGATCCCTCTCTTGGGGCGCTTGTAGGGCGTTTGGAACTCGACGAGGGCGATGGTCAGTTCAATCTATGGAAAAGGAGAGGATGAGCAGGCGGAAGGACGCTTCAACCGACCGTGGACGGGTGGGTCGCAGACGCCGACGCGATCGAGTACGATCGGGGCTGCAGCCGCGGAATGCATTCGACAAGATACTCGAGTGGCACCGCCACGGACGCAAAGTCCTCAAACACCTATCACAAAATCGTGAGCGGATGGGAACGGGTGCAACGGGGCGCAGCTGGTTGCACTTGCCTCGACGTATGTTCGCTTCTCGCGCGTGCAGTAGTCGCTCAAAAGGTCTGCGCCGCCCGGCGACGCGAGCTCGACGAGCTTCTCGCGCTCGTCCGGATCCGACGCAAAGAGCGAGAGCCGCTCAAAGAAGGACCGGCGCGGCGTGCCAAAGATGTCGAGGTACTTGCGCATGAGATCGTCCACCGAGACGGGCGACGGAAGGTTGGCTGGCGCGCCGTCCACGCGCGAAATGACGAGCTGCGTGCCGCGCACGAGCCCGAGGAGCCCGAGGCGGTGTAAAAATCGATCGATCGCGGCCGCGTCCGTGTTCTCCGGGTACAAGAGGGCGATGTCGCCGGGGGCATACGCCACGGGCGCCGACGACATGTCGAGCACGAGGTGCCGGACGTCCTGCGTCCAATCGGACG